TATTATATATATATATATAATAATTCATGTACAAGATCTGGGTACAATTTCATAAAGACATATTTATGTACTAAGCAGTTGAATTTCTCTTCACTAGAGGAAGGTAACATTTTTGAATGCGAGCCCATGTGTGTGTGGTTTTTTGAGGGGGTGAAGGCAGAATGTTTATATCATTGGACTAGGCCTGCCCCACCATTATTCCTTCCAGGGGCCAGCATCCACTGCACACAAAACCATATAAAAACAACTCTATGTTTTATTATAGAACTATTTCTATAATAAAGAAAGAGGCTACCGTGGCTCAATCGCTAAGCTTCTGGTAAATTATGTTCAGGATTGGTTAGTTGACTTGGGCGGAGAGGTCAACTGTGTTGCTCTTAAATGGATCCTTTCTCAACCCCATTGCAAAGAGAAGGGTTCCTTAGTTGAGTTTTAGGCTAGAAGAGCGAGCAAAGAGTTAAAGGTAGAGCAAACCCAACATGTTTCCCCTAAAATATGACTTGTCCTGAAACTAAGGCCTTGCCACATTTTTCGCGTGGGCAAAAAATATAGCCTCCCCTGAAAATAAGCCCCCTGAACAACCCCCTCCGCCCAGGCAGAGCACCACTCACCGACCAGTGGTATCCCAAAGGTGCAAAGCCGCGGGAGCCGGGGGGGAAAGGCACTCACATTGCTTGGTATCTTCAGGATACCGCTAGGTTGGGGAGTGGCATTCTGCCTGGCCAGAGTGGGGAATTGCTGGGTGGTTGCTCCCTTGCAAGCAGGCTCCCGAAGAGCCGGGCACAGCCTCAGGGGTGAAGCAGCCATGATGTGACCACGCTCACAAGCAGCCACCCAGCAAACCCCCTCTCCAACCGGGCAGAGCGCCATTCACTGACCTAGGGGGTGCCAAGCCACATGGTGCTCTGTCTGCCTCCCAGCTCCTGTGGCTTGGCACATTCGAGATAACCCCTATGTCAGTGCATGGAGCTCTGCCCAGCTGGAGAGGGTGGTTGTGCGAGTGCCTGTTCCGCCCCCAGCTCACATGCCTCCCAGCCTCACCATGCCCTGGCCCAGCTGTCCCTGCAGGGTCAGAGCACCGCCACGGCTGCTGCCACCGCACTTCGAACATAACGTCTTCTCCAGCTTCCAAACTCCAGAACTCAGCTTCTGATTCTTCCAGCAGTCCTATGGCAGCTGGCCCACAACCATAGAGCACACTGCTAGAGCAGCCACTGCTAGAAGAATCGGAAGCCAAGTTCCAGAGTTTGGAAGCCGGAGCAGAAGTTATGCTTGGAGTGCGGCGGCAGCAGCGGCGGTTCCTGGGCCCTGCAGGGAGAGCTGGGCCAGGGCATGGTGAGGATGGGAGTCATGCAAGCTGGGGGCAGAACAGGTGCTCGCGCAACCACCCTCTCCAGCAGGGCAGAGCTCCATGCACTGACCTAGGGGGTATCCAAAATATGCCAAGCCACAGGATCTGGGGGCAGGCAGAGTACCACATGGCTTGGCAGCTTAGGGATACCCCCTAGGTCAATGAATGGCACTCTGTCCGGCTGGAGAGGGGGTTTGTCGGGCGGCTGCTTGTGAGCGTGGTCATCTCATGACTGCTTCACTCCTGAGAATGTGCCCGACTCTTCAGGAGCCCACTTGCAAGGGAGCAGCCACCTGGCAACCCCAAAACAATAAGCCCTCCCCTGATAATAAGGCCCAAGCCATATTTTGTGGGTCAAAAGACAATAAGTCCCTGTCTTATTTTCAGGGAAACATGATACTTCTGGTTTAAACTTCAAGGGAAAACAAGCACACAGATTGGCAGAACCACAATTTCTTCTTTTCTTTTGAAGACAAAGGGGAAGAATAACAGAGAGAGAATTGAAAAGATCTATATTATAGTATTTGTTTTATGGTTTATGTTATCAAGAAAGTGGCTGTTTCAGCAATATGATGTTTGGAGGAATTGCAAAAAGTGGCATAGGATGCCCGCTCCTGGCCTACAAATTTAACAGAATATATTTGAATCTGGAGAGGTGCCACTTTATTTCCATAGAATTAGAAAAACAATCATGCCATCAACCTGCTGGTAGCAAAAGTCTTTAATAAAGTCAGCATATTCTAGCTGATATTCTAGAAAGTTCTACCCAGCAATGAAACTCAAATATCCATTTTGTATGTTTGAGACATGGCATGTACAATATAAAAATAATTATTACTTAACTTTGATGTCTTGAAAACTTTTTCCTGATTAAAACTCTATAGCAAAACCTGGCAAAATTTTTAAAAATCTGACTGCTTTACTGGCTATCCCTGCTTGTTTTCTTTTAATGCTCTGATTTTGGGTTTTATTTTGTTTTTTTTTTATAGCTGAGCCATTACTGTTTTATTTGATAGCACTTTCCCTTGTTTGAAACTAAGGCCAGATGTGACTAATCCATTTAACTTTGTAAAAGTATCTAAAATAACATGTGGTTAGTAATGTTTATATAAAACTAAGAAAGCAAGGAAACAGTGAAAAACATTGTAAATAAGACATTGCTGAGAAGTTTGCAATTCAGCTAAATACACTCTGCAATCTCTCTTACCTACTGCTCACAAAAATGAAATTAATCTCTAGAAGAAATGCAGCATATATAATGAAGTCCTGGTAAAAGATCAATTGTTCTATAAATGTTATCATTTTTCTAGTATTATGGGGTGACAGTTACCAGTAGGAAAATATTAAACTATACAGATAACTTTGGGTGTACCTGTTATATATGCTTTCAGATGTTCACGGAGGGATAAATGCGAGAGAGCCAATGAACCTTTCCGATTTGCAGCCAGCATCAACCAGTGTATGAGTGTCATTGTTCAACCTAGCAGCATCCCAGTTTCTGAGCATAGTCTTCCGGTAGGTAGCCAAGGCAGGTAATTGCTTGCTTTTTATGTTCATCATCTCTATTGCTAAAAAGGATGTGATGGTCTCTAGTCTTGAATAGTACCACTCAAGTAATTTTATCTAATATTTCCTGTCTCAGCTTTATATAATTATACCAATAATTGTTACTTAATACCTGCCATTTGCATGCTTCACAGCCAGCTTTTGACAAGCAGAGTCAATGGAGAAGTTGTGTGATGTATTGCTTAATGATTGTATGTGAGTTACTTAACACCTGCAGCAGAACTGACATTGCATTAGTTCTGTGATCATGTGATATTGTGATCATGTGATGTTTTTCTTAGCAACAGAAGTTGTGATTATTAAATAAGAGCTATCTGTAATTGAAACAATCTCATTCTATGTCTCTAATTCCTGAAAGTAACTTTATTCACAACAACATTGTGAATTTGGGATTTTTTAGATTTTAACAAATTAATTTTGCTTTGTGTTTTGGTGCATTTCTCTTTGAGTGTAACTTGTTAAAAATTACTTCCTCTGGTATGCATATTTTGGAAGTGTTATCATTTAACACAGTGTAAATATTCTAGTTTTCCCATTTGTCCATTTTTAAAATGAGACCTGGTTTGATGAATTCTAAAAGGAGCAAAATTTAAATACAGTATATTCTGGTTTTCTTTGATGTTTGAGAGTGTAAAAAAGCAAATAACTCTAGAAGCAAGCTATTTTCTTTTCCATTTGACGATTACATAGTTTTTTTCAGAAGCAAGACCTATTCATAGCCATTTCATATAAAAACAGTTTGAATTATTCCATGTAACTTTCAGTGTAAGTACAATGCTTTGAGGTGTCCATTAATAAGCCAATGCTGATTAGCTTTTTGCATACCATTGTGAATGGGTTTGGGGGCATTCATTTTGAGGTGTAAACAGCTAAAGCATGCCAAGTTCTGTATAACACATTCTGTATATGCTAATGAGGTAAATGGGAAGAAATGATGGGAAATGTTAATTATGTAATTATGGACAAATTACATCAATTCCGATTTAATGGCTAACCCTTTTCTCAAGTGGTCTGGTATATCAAGACTTTATACTGATTGGAACAATTTGTGTGGATAGGCCCCAAAGAAATATTTTACTGATCCACCTCCATTTTGTTTTGTTTTGTTTAATTTCAACCAAGAATTCACCTGCAAGAGTTTTCCAATTAAAAGTGAAGAAGTTATTAAGCCTTGTTCTTCCACGCTATGATAGAAATATCACCTCAACTTATTTATTTATATCCTGCCTGTATTATTTTTATAAATTACTCAAGATGGCAAACATACCTTATATTTTTCCCTCCTCCTGTTTTTCCACAACAACCCTGTGAAACAGTTTGGGCTGAAAGAGAGTTACTGATTCAAATCCATCCAACCAACTTTCATACCAAGGCAGAATTAGAGCTCACCGTCTCTTGGTATCTAGCCTGGTGCTTTAACCACTAGACCTATGTGATTATGGTATTAGGTCAGTGAAGCAATTGCAACTGATATACAATGACTTTTTTAAAAAAATTAAACATTTTGCTGTGATGTTCTTGAAGTATAGAAAGAAATATACATACTGCCTTCTATTTTATGCCTCTTCTCTTCATTTTTCCCTCCGTAGCTCAGCTTGCTGGTGAATGATGCTCCGGACCTGTCACCTGGCATAATTTGTGTATTTGGAAACCTCACTGAAATAGAAGGCCAGGTTCTGGGGAACCAAATTATATGCATCTCTCCATCCCCTAAGGATGTCCCTGCCATACCTGTGGACCAGGGTGAGCTGGCTTCTCAGTGATAAACTGTTAGTACTTAGAGCAAGAATCAGGAGATTGGACAGTAATGGTCTACATTATGAAACTGATTTAGATTTATTTTATTGAAGACATCTGCAATATTGGCCTACTGTCTATTCTCAGGCACTCTAGAGTAGCTCCCATCAACTTGTGAAACACCTATCAAAAATGTTGTTACAATCAAATGTGCAAGATTCTATTCTTATAGCCAATCTCAGTAAAAATAGTTTTAAACTTCCTAAGAAACTGATTTTCTGGTCTTGTCTGCCTAATGGATCAGTCTTACAAGATTGATTATACTATATTTCCTCCTCCTTTTTCTAGATCAGTGAATTAGGGAGGTTTCTGCCTAAGTTACTTTCATATGTTATCATGTAGTCCTGGACTTAAAAAATGCTTCACCCTCGTTTACCTAGATAACGGATCCTGAATATTTCAATCAGGGCCACCTTCCTTACATTATTTATGTTTAAAAGCCTAAGAATCCATACATTTTGGAGATTAATATTATTACAATCTATACATTAAATACGGTATACTCCAGATGTGCCATGATTGTGTATTCTATTTCCAGAGACATTGGCCAATGCTGATTGGGAAATTTAAGAGTTTCTGGTAATTGTTGATGCTCTGAAAGACTATGGTATATTATTTCATTAAATTTATTACAGCCACCCACTCCAACCCTCTAGATGGCCTACAACATATAATATTAATTAAAGCCATTAAGAGCCTGGATTTAAAAAAAAAAACAGCCTGGACTGAAAACAGCCTAAGGCAGACTAAAAATGAGGAGAAAATAAACTAGAATGTCACTGTTTAGTACGTGAAGTATTACCTGAATTGGCAATGGGTATATTTGGACTGGAGCCAACAGTTCATGAAATGCAATGAGCACAAGTATCTCCCTGACATTTCTATTCGGAGCCAAGATAGCAGAACCAAGTAACAAATAAGCAAACTATTCACACCAGATTTAATATTAGTTTTGTAGCTAGGTAATACAGAGAATTGAATTTAATAACTTCACCTTAGAATCTTTGTTTGTATCATTTCCACTAAATTGTTTTGTTACCAAACTCAGCAACACAATGCCCTGGAAGGCTGAAATATTTTCCTATTGCTTTCTTAATGTTGCCTCTTTTATGTCATACTTTTAGCTACTTGCATAGAAAGAAATTTTGTATTACGTAAAGTGAAGTAGGATGTTAGATCCAAACAGTGCTCTACAGGTAGTCCTCAACTTATAACAGTTCAGTTAGTGACCGTTTGAAGTTACAACGGTACTGAAAAAATAACTTATGACCATTTTTCACACTTATGACCAGCATTACCATGGTCACGTGGTTTGAATTTGAATGTTCAACAACTGACTCACATGTATGATGGTTGCAGTGTCCTGATCACCTTTTTCAACCTTCTGACAAGCAAAGTCCATTGGGAAACCAAATTCAGTTAACAACCATGTTACTAATTTAACAACTGTAGGGATTCACTTAATAAATGAGGCAAGAAAAGTCGTAAAATAGAGCAAAATTCACTTTACAAATTTCTCACTTAACAACATAAAGTTTGGGCTCAATTGTGGCTGTAGGTTGAGGACTACCTGTATATCACATGATTACAACTCAATAAAGGAATGGTTGAAGCTACTCAGATCTGTAATAGTGCTATCTAAGTAGACATGTGCTAACATTGTGGTTTCAGTCACAAGTATATGCTTTCCATCCTGTAACAATAAAATATAAATGTCCATGATGAGCTTTTATGTTTGCATTCTGTTGTCATGTTATTTGCTCACTTTAATTTCCAGTCTAAAACCATTTTGTGTTAGTAATGCTTTTCAAAAAGGAATAGATTATTACTTATCATTTGATTTTGGACAAAGCTTTAATCCCAAAAGCAGACAAGAAAAATGTCATCGACGTCTATGCCTTCTGCATAGTAGGTGTAATCTGCTTCTAGCAGATTGTACAAACCCCACACATTTAAAAGCCAGCCTTCAAGCCATCTGCTTGATAAGTTACCTATCATTAGGGGTCTCCATCTTTTGTTATCTAAAGAGGGAAAAGGAGAAGTTAGTGTGGGTGTTACTCATGCTCTAAAGTATGATTCACTCCCCATGAGTGGGTGAAGGTTTCCATTTTTTGGGTTCCTTCTTTGCTAATACAATTGCTATCAAGAGTTCTTTCATACCATTACCGAGCAGCTAATTGTTTGAAATCTGTTTCTTACATTGTCTCGTTCACAAGTAGCCTTTTCTGCTAGGAGAGTGTTTAATAAGCATGCATTGAAGTTCATAAAAGATCTGGGCAGTGTATAGAGCAGAAATGCCAGCAAATGGCTAAAAGAAAGTAAATGCAATTCATGGCAGTCATGGCTATGTGCCATTTTACCTGGAGGGAGGATAACAGAGATCAGCAACTGGCATTCAGTTTCAAGATGCAAATGATCTTTTTGTCTATTTCAAAAGATGTGGTTATTGGCAGGTGTTGCCTACCACATTGCCAGCCAATTTCCATCAATCTTTCTTCTCTGGCACTGGATGGCATTACAATAACTGCTTCTGTTTTGAACAGAACTCAGCAGAAAAAGTGTAAATTTATGTTTCAATTTAATTAATGGGTGCATTTCTGTCTCTTTCAGTCTTTTCCAGTTTTTCAAGGACTGTTTCAAAGACGTCAGGGTTGAGTCTTCCCCAGTTCTTCAAAATTATTACTGCCTTTATTAGTCATTTTGCACTTTCAAATGAATAGATTCCTATAATTTTATAGCAGCCACTGTGAATATCTTTCTTTGTGTACTGTCATAGGCATATGGTATTAACATTGAATATTCAAGATTTTACCTATCAATTTTAACTACATCAGTATAAACATTCTAGCAGTACCATGTATTTCCATATGGGGCAACATGAAAAAAAAGTCAACATGACTTAAAAGATAATTTAAAAAATGCATAAAACATCTCTTAAATTCCCATATTATTCTTGTGCATGATATTTCAATAATTTCTTTGTCCTTTTTTCCCTTCAGACTGGTTTGGCATAGAGCTTCTGTTGAAATCCAGAGAAACTGGCAAGACGTTTGTCAGCACAGAGTTCAAATTTTACAACTGCAGTGCCCACCAGCTGTAAGATATCTTCTAATGTTTCTTTCATTGAATGCTTTATAGTTAAATAGAGATTTTTGCCATTTTATTTGCAGCAAGAACTGCAAAATTACTGTGTATAAAAGATTTCTAACCAAGCTCAGAACCCACTAGCTAGGATTCACTAGTATTTATATAAAGAAGAATGGTTGGTTACTTGGTTTGTTAGGATAATTGTTTTTTAGATAATCACTTGGACATATAAATACAGTCATTAGAAAAATGGTTAGATTTCAAAGATACTTTTCTATGATGTAGTTATGGTATTATGATATTAAATTAAGCTTCTTCAAAGTAGTTCTGCATGATTTCTGTAAACATATGACCTAAATAAAAATTAATTGATTATATTGTTCTTTTTAACTGCATTGTCATTTCAGTGTCAATTACTAGTACTTCACTAAACTTTCAGTTACTGAAAGACTAAACTTTAAAAGTAAAATTTCACAGTTTATTAACCTTTTATGCAGAGGTAATAAAAAAAAAAACGTACCCCAAACTAGGAACTAGTTTGACCACTCAAAGTGTAAGAAGGCATTCTAAGGTATTTCAACTCATAATATATATATATATATATATATATATATATA